ATTCATTCTGGTGTCTCTCTGTCCTGGGGAATCCAATATGTTTTCCTGTTCTTAGTGACTAATGTTAGCAAGATGTTAAGAGAAAAGCATTGTGATCACAGTGTTATGCAGTAAGTTATGAATGTTTGAGTTATAATCATGAAGAGCATATTTGTACCATTAACTGGAATTATCCAGAAAAGAGAAATCATTGGAATGAGTAAAATTGAGTCAAAAGTTCTCATTTGCTTCTTGTTTCTCTTGATTCCCATCAAAGACTGCTAACAATTCTTTGCCTATTCTGAAAACAAATTCTTTCAAAGCTTTTCTTGTCTGAGAAAGAATTGAAATTAATAGTGTACAGTAACAAAATTAAAACGTACTTATGATTAGCTAGAATTAGTTTCCATTACAATTTATTTTTGTTTGCACCCATAGTTAAATGACTTTTACTTATTAACACAGTTCCTATGTGAATTTTTCACTCCTGTATATAAACTTTAGGAATTTGCAATAGAGCCCATACTCACTGACCCCTGTAGAGTTATTTTTTCTGGAAAATGAATCTTCTTAGTTACTGATTAGAATACCAACCATTACACTCATTTCCACCATGATTATAAGATAGAGAGCTGAGGGAAAATGACATTGAAGGCTGCCTCTCAGTGTAGTCATGTGGCTCCATTTTAAAATATAAATAATAGAATAAAAACATTTTCCATAAAATTTCTGGTATCTAATTAATGTCTTCCAGAGTAACTGTGGTATCAAACATTTCCTCTAATTATATTCATTAGCTGCTTTGCCCGGACAAGTTTTAATTAAGTTGTACAATGAAGATCAATACTCATTTTGTATTCATTGCAATTTACAACAAGCATATATACTGTTCAGAACAATTTAATTACTGTAATTGTAGCACAGAAGACACTTAGTGGTTGTACTCTATTACTGCCAATTCCCTTTTTTTTGAATAAATTTGGTAGTACAATTTGGAAATAAAGTTTTGAAAATTCACATTTAAATACACCTTGTAAATTTTTTTTTGTAACTGCATTTTCATATTTTTAATTTTATATTTATTTTTATTTTCTATTTTTATTATGTAATTAGTAAGGGAAATGGAGGCATTAATGACATCAGTGACAGACTGTTTTTCCCATACACCATCATGAATATTGAGAAGCATAAATGTTGATGAATAAATAAGAACACCTGTAATAATTGCACTGGTTTTGTGAAAAATTAAGATATAATTATGTGGTTAAAATACTGTCTTTCTAGTTCCCTAAATAAAACTAAGATTGTTTTATTACATTTTTTTTTTACCAAATGAAAATGAGTTTATTACTTTTATTTTCTTAAAAATTGGGGATCTTAAGGTATATTTCTAATATGGTACCTTCTGTTAATGAAGATCTTGCCAATGTTGTACTGTTAAAAAAAAAAAAGTGAAAGAATAGATCTTTTTTTAGTAGCATCAATAGGTATATACTAGGGCTTCTCAGTTTTGGACTAGTGAAATTTGGGTCAGAAAATTGTTTCCTGGTAAATTTGTGGTGTATTGCAGAATATTTAGCTTTATGCCTCGCTTCTTCCCCTTAAATGCTAGTAGGGAAATACCCTTCCCCCTCCCCTAGATTGTAGTCCTCTCCAGATGTTATCTAATATCAATGTCAAGAAACACAGGTGCATGCTGAATCAGCCACACCCTCTTGATCTGCCCATTGCACAGATGATTCATTCATAAGGCAAATATAGCCATTCAGCTCTTGGAGCTCAAAGTAAGATTATGGGCATGTGTCAAACCTGGAGTTCCAATAGAGTATTCAGTAGTAATAGCTAGCTTATAGTAGGAAACTGAGGATCAGTGATGGCTTCTTGAAAATGGTAATTCCTGAAATTCATCTTGAAGGAAAAAAGTTAGCAATTCAAGAAGGGAGAAGTCATTTGAGAAAGCTTAAGAGTCTTGTTCAAAGCCCAGAGGTAAAATAAGTAAGTAAATAAATAGATAAATAAACATATTTATTTAAATATATTTAAGTGATATACAGCAAGTTATGAATATATATTTAAATTTATATATAAATTTTAGCTATTTTTCTCTGAGACATATGATGAACTGTTCCAGGTCTAAAGAATTTATTCTGCACTTTATTAACAAAAATTTAATGTATTTATCTCAAGAAAGCATTTTGATAAAATCATGAGATTGAATATAATTCTATTGCAGTTTTTTTTTCATGTATTTTGTAGTGTATTTCAGTATCGATTTACTTCCCTGTCTGTGTTGAGCCAAAAAATAATTAAATAAAATAAAAATAACATGTAGATTATAAGTTAATTCAAGTGATAACAATAAAAGAATTTTGAAAAGGCATTTGGAATTTTGTTTGTAATAGGGAATATTTCAAATTCACATATTATTAAGAGACTTACAAGACATGTAGTTTCACCAGGCTGGCCAGTTACAAATTCCTGGAATTCCTATGCACATCAATTTGCCACCACAGGATTAAATCTGATTTGACTACTGTCACAGTAACACCCTTAGTTTGCTGATTTGCTCTACTTTATCTAATCTACACTGATACACTGCTGCTCAATATCAAAGATGAATCAAATGAATCATTAAAATGAATAAACATAACAATTTAGGTTCTGCACTCCCCTGGTACTTAGTCATGTCTAGACACAGCCCTAGTGTCCCAGAAAACTAAAATGAGGACAAGGACATTTATGTTTAATGTAGCCTATTCCCACAGAAAGCTGAAAAACCAACAATAGAACAAAAAGAAAAAATATGGATTTCACTAAAAAATTATATGAAGTGGCTTGACTCATAAAATCTGTAATTTCAGAGAGTAGTAGAATAATTTTGGTTGATTTGCTTTTGTTTTTGTGGTAATAAACAGTGGTTTTTCATTTGGGACATCTTTCTTTTAAGGAATCAGTAATTCCACAAATGATTTTATTGTTCCATGAAGGCAATATGTTTTGAGTACACCAAAGTGATACAAATATTATATAGTAAATATTTTTGTAGTTGAAGAACTCAAAAGTAGTGATAAACAAATATATTGAACAACAACAACCTCTTCCACACTAGCATATTTTGTGTGTTCTAGAATTCTAAATTACTGATTTATTTTAATGTTACTAGTATTATTATGAAATTTTAACTTAGTTTTTAAGATTTACATTCACAAACATACTGCTTTGCCCACTAATTTGGGCTACTGTAATAAAATGTGGATAATAAAGACTAAATATTTGTATATACATTTTATAGCATGTGTAAAAATTTTAGTTTTAATTTTGATCATGATATTCTCAGTCATGATTTTATCTTATATTCTTTTATAAAGAGTGACAACAGATTTTCCAGTCTATCAACTGTAATTTCTTTTGTTCCCCAGGTTTATATTGGTAGATAGAATATTTTGTTGTTGGTGGTGTTGAGAATCAATGTTTTGAATATTCTGGCTCTTGAATGTGATTTATGAAACTGCAGTACTTCTTACCAGGAATAACCCATGTGGTTCCCGTTTGGATTCATATGCCATGTTTATGCAAAGTTAGTCAGTTGTACAGTGGGCCAAATGCATCCAATTGAGATAAATATAATAACTTAGACAATGAACTATGACCCAATTCTAAAGCATTTGATTAGATAGTTCTCTTTAAACTAGTATGATTTCCCAGGGACAGTGTACAAGGACTATGTGTATATGTGGATATGTATGTATGTATGTACGTGTGTATCTCTGTGTGTGAGTTTGTGTGCATGTCTGCATATATACTCACCCATGTCTTCCTTTATAATGATGATATTAGATTGCTACTCTGGAATTCCTAAGTATCTTAGGCTTTCCAGATATAACAGATTTGAGAATTTTATATGAAGCACATTTTAGACTCTAGTCACATCTAAGTAGAAGACATCTTTAGGGATGCAGTGGACTCTTAACTATAGCAACAACCCCAAGAACTGCTATAGTTTTCTTGTGTTGTTTAAGGGTGTGTAGATTTATTTCTTAATTAAACTTGCAATTTGGATTACAGATTTCAGATAATATCACACTGTTATAAGCTTGGGAATAGTTCATTGCTATATAATGTAAATTATTTGTTAATTGCTTCATAAGCACTTTCCATAAGAAGATAAAGTGTATTTAGCTGCAATTTTATGGTAGTGGCTTAATCTTCAAACATTGCGCCTTTAACCAAGCTACATGGTCCTATAGTTTTTGTGGGCATTTATTTTATTTTTTTTCTTTTTTCTTATTATTTGATCTTCTACTTTTCATTTATTTGGCAAAAAATATCTAAGGTAATGGCGTCTTTTTATATTTTGTTGTAATTGTTCTCTGTTTATTGAAAATAAGTTGTTCTCTTATATTCAAATGACATTTTCTATAAACTGTACCTCTTGTGGTCATCACAATGGAAGCTTAATCTAATTTCAGTTACACAAAAAATGTGTGTGTTCTTCTGTTCTTTTCTTTTTTACATGTTTTTAATGTAATGATGGGATTTTTTTTACATATTCATATATGTACACACTATAACAATATACTTTGGCCTATATCAATCCCCAGTATATCCCCTGCTCCTTCCCCAATTTTCTCCCCTTGGTCCCTTTCCTCTACTTATCTCCCTTTGAATTATTTTTTTTTTCCTCTCTAGCTTCTACGTATGAGAGAAAATATATGACCCTTGAGTTCTGGGTTTGACTTATTCCTTAACATAATGGTCTCTAGTTCCATCCATTTTTCTGCAAATGACATCATTTGGTTTTTCTTTATGGTTGAATAAAACTGTACCACATTATCTTTATCCATTCATGTGTTAATGGACACCTATGCCGGTTCCATTGTTTGGCTATTGTGAATTGTGCTGCTGTAATCTTGGGTATGCATGTATCACCATACTAACAATATCAAAATAGAGATACAGATATGTTGTTGTTGTTGTTGTTGTTATATATTTCACTCATCTTTTTGTTATTTCTCTTTCAGTGAATTTATTGGATTCACGAACTGTTATGGGGGACCTGGGATGGATTGCTTTTCCAAAAAATGGGGTAAGATCTTATTAAATTTTCCCCTAAACTTAAACTAAATGCATATGTATCATTGCTAAAAGTCACAGGAGGTTGAAAATTCACTGGATATGCTCCTTAAGACAGAAGGGAATTGTGATAAGGAAAGAAGTTTCAAATCAATGAATATCAGTTATATTATATTCCTCTCTTAGTATTTTTCTCCATAAAAAGATACAAAGGTTGTTCAAGCATCAGGAAATTTTAACATTGAAGTAACTAATAAATTTTTAAAATTAATTTATATATAAAATGAACTTAATTTTCCGCTGATTTGCCTTATAATGGTTATATTGTACAGGAAATAAAATTTAATATGTATAAAATCATTGTTAAATCAAACGAACCATTTTTTTTCATTTGCAGAATTATGGAATGAAAATTCTATAGGAAATTCATTTAAATTCCATTAATCAAAATGTTTTTCAGATTATTAGCTAGGTCAGCATTCAGAGGTTGTTTTCCAATTTTGAATTTGTCTTTACTGAAAATTGCTTAGTAAAGATGGTTTTATTGGAAGATTATTATAATTAACAATGCTTTCTATTTCATTGGTACGTATTACAAATTAATATTTTGGGTAAAAGAAATTAGAAAAGTCTTTTTAAATCTCAAAGTATTTTTTCTTGGTATGTAAATTCTTTGTAATTTTGAATGTAAGCAGACAGAGTATGTTAGATCTGACAGATTTACTCTGTAAAACTTGGAATAATACAAAATTTTAATTGGAAAATGAAATTTTCTTCTTCCTTTTTTGGGTATATAAAAATCATATAGAATAGCTTATATCAATATATCATATTTGTATATGCATATAACATTTTTAGTACTAACAATCTTTCTCCATAGATTATATTAAGTACTTCATTTTTTTCTGCTTAATTAAATACATATCCATACTATTAGGTACAATATGAAAACATAAGAAAAATAATATCATATGAAATCATATTATACTGAAAATATTAAATCTATTTCATGAATATTACATTAAAAACAATTTAGACGGAACTTTGTATTAACTAATAACTAAATATTTTAACATTTGCTATCTATAGTTACAATCTATCAAACTGTTATAACAAAGACAAATAACATTTTTTAATTCTCATTTAAAGAAAAACATTTAAACAATTTGAACATTTAAAACTTTTACTATAATATATATGCAATCATCTTTAAAATTTATATACACTAAAATTATTTTACATGATATGGAAGGTTAATTTTAATTTAAGTAAGGGAATGTAACTAACCTTCAGATATCAATACCAAGAGCCCAAACTGTTTACTGTTGTTTTTCAAATCACTGGGAAAATCAGGTATACTAATCAGTCCTAAGGTATACTTATCAGTACTAAGAAAATTTTTATGGAAATAAAACAAGTAGTAAAACAACATTGTGCCTACAACTTGAAAAAAAAAAAGAATTGTAATGCATTCTGCTGTCATATATAAATAAAAAAGGAAATGCTAAAATAAATAAATAAATATTAAAAAAATAAAAAAAAAGAAATAAAACAAGTAGTATTGTTTTAACTCATAATTATATGTTAACATCTAATCAATATGTGTTCTTTTTATTTCACTAATCTGGAATTTCTTTTCTCTTGTTAAAAATTATAGTTGTTTTCTGGGGATGTTAATTCAGTGGTATAAAGCTTGCCCGACATGTACAGGGTCCTGTGTTCAATCCCTACTTCTGCAACAAAGTTATGGTTGCATTTAGAATTTTGATGTAAAAAGTTAATACTAGTAGAGTGTTAAGGTATAAGAACTTTTTATGCAACTAAAGAAAAAAATGTGTGATCCAGATATAGTCAGTGTCAACTTAATGGTATATATTACATTAAGGATCTTCCTTTTTTAACTTTCTTGTAATCTTTTCCTTTTTCTCTTTTTGCCTGTTCTTGAGTTCGTTCTTTCTTTTTTTTTTTTTCATTTATCATCACCCCTATAGAAAGAGATGCTGGCTAACAATGATCAATAAGTACTTAACGATGTATTTTTGTACTTCATACTTTTATGTCAAAAATATTTTACTGAATATGTATTTTAAATGCTTTTTCTAATAAGATGGCTGAAATGTTAAAATTATTTTTTTAGAATTCTGAGAAAATATGACATATTCTCTTTGAATTTAGTTTTCTGTTTTTCTTATGTTTCCACTCAGAAGTTACTCAAAAAAGGTTTGACAGACTGTACCTATGAGAGTTAAAGTACGTTGGTATGGTTGCACTTGCAACTAGGAATTTGCAGGGACATTATGCAATTTTGTAAATGATTTATTTATAAAAATAAATTTTTTTTTTCTGTATAAATGCTCAGTTTTTTCCAAACATTGCAACTACTGTGTGTTTTGTTTTTCTTTCTTTTTTCCTAATTGTTGGATTGGTGCTGTTTTTGTTTTTCAGTCTTTTAAACAATATGTATCTTTTTAAAGATGGTTGTAACTTTTTATGCATGATGTTTCCTTAGACATAGCTATATCTGATGTTAATAGTGAAGAAAGACTAGTTAATTTAGAAGAGTCGGATGGTATATAGTTTTCAAACTGTGAGGAAGATGTGTGGTATCTACACATTATATTTGTTTTTAAATGTTATTTAAATGTGAGATAATGGAAATTTATTTAAAGGAAATGAGTATTTACAGTGTATACAATTATAATGATATATATGTATATCTCTGTGTGTGTGTGTGTATATATATATATATATATATATATGTATGTATGTATTTTAACTTTTAATATATTTTGAGTAGCTTGTGTCAAGTATGATTAGATAAGCAACATAATCCTAGGTAAATGCTAATAACAAAAATTAAGAGTAAGAGCTTCCGAGCTCTTTTCCTCAGCAAAAGTCATGAGAAAATTGAAAAACATACTCTGGCAAAGATGAGGACACTTATTTGTCTGAGGTTTTTTTGTTTTATTTTCAATATCTGTCCAACAATTAACTGCTAATAAAATTGCACAACAACTTTGATGGCTACACATGATAAAGAATACAGGTTTTACAGAATTAGTTTAGTGATGTTGTTAAATAAGCAAACAAAAATGAGCCCTGGAATAAGGGGAGAATATAACTTGCAGATTTGACACATTGTATTATTTGATGTGCTTGGATTTCAGTATAAAATCATGATAGATGTAAATAAATAAGTAAATTTTATTAATACATAAGATGAAATCCACCAATATAATTATATTGAGGATTCCCAGATATTTGACATATTAGATAAGGGCTTTAATTAGCAATTTAAAATGTTCAAAGAACTAAAATAAAATGTGTTCAAAGAACTGAAAAAAGTATAAGATTGATGTTTCTTCTAATTCAACATGTCAGTAAAGAGATAGAAAATACTTAAAAAAAAGAAATTAGAGTTGAAATATATAAAAACTGAAATAAAAATATATTATAGGGGCTTATCAGCAGATTATGGTGAAAGAAAAATCAATAAACTGAAAGATGGAACCATTGAGATCCAATTAGAGAAAGTGAAAGGAAAAATAATGAGGAAAAGTAAAAAAGAATTAAGATACTTGGAGGAACAGCACAGATATAATGGGAGTAGCAGGAAAATAGAAGCCAGAAAGATATGAATAAATATTTGAAAAAATTAATGTATATAAATTTTCCAAATTTGATGAGACATTAAAACACATATTTAGGAAACTCAACAAACATAAGTAGAAGAAACTCAAACAAATCCATCAGTAAACCATGGTTAAATGGTCCAAAGCCAAAGAAAAAGAATTTTAAAAGCACTGAGAGGGAAACTTATCATCATATAAAATAAATCCTCAATATTATTAATGGCTATTTTATTACAAACAGTGGGGTGCAGAGGGCTGTGGAATGACATTCAAAATATGATAAGCTGTCAAAGCAAAAATTCTATATCCAGAAAAGTTGTCCTTCAAAAATGGAAATAGAATCGTAGATTATTCTCAGATGGAACCCAACCATTTTTTCCAAAAGAACTATATCTTTATTTATCTTTAATTTTTTTCTCTTTACTTCACTTTCAGAGAGAAACATAATCTTACAAATTATATATATTTCCTTAAATTTGATGTATGCATTTAATTAACAGTTGGTTTTAGAATAGTTTATTTATAATATAGTTTTATGATTTGATGTAGTTTGATCATACATCATTTAATGATGGAGATACAATCAGAGAGATGTGCCATTTTATGATTTTATCATTATGCCAACATCACGTGTGTACTTGTACAAACTAAACTGGTTATGATGTCACTGGGCAATATAATGTTATGGGACCACCATCATATATGTGATTCATCTTTCATGGAAATCTGGTTATGGGACACATTAACTGTATTTCAGTAAAAACAACACAGTGCTCCTATTTGATTTATCTTTTCATAGACAAGAAATCATTTTGCAATCATTTCATCTCAAATTAAAATTGTATCAATTTCATGTTAGCATAGTTTTTTAAAAAGTATGATTTTTTTATTTAATAGATATCCTTTAGTGTTACTTTTGTGTAATATATTATGCCTATTCTATAATTCATATCAGATTGAGCAAGGCAAGGGTCATATCCTTGATAAAGGCTGATATAACTTAATTTTACTGCTTTATTATTTCAAGAAATATCTGCTCTGTACTAAGTGATGAAGTCTATTCTAGAGACACTGTTATTATTGTTTTATGTTTTAATGAAAAGCTTATTAAGGTTTGTAATATTCAATGAATTTTCTTCCTCTAAATAGTATTCCTGGTCTAAGCTGAACCAGTCTTTTGTTGTTGTTTTGTTTTGTTTTTCTAATTAGTTATACATGACAGTAGAATGCATTTGACACATCATATATAAATGGAATATAACTTCTCATTCTTCTAGTTGTACACGATGTAGTGTTATACTGGTCATGCAATCACATATGCACACAGGGTAATAATGTCCAATTCATTCTAGTATCCTGTTTATCCCCTACCTCCTCCCCT